ATATATAAAGAGTTCTTACAAATCAGTAAGAAATTAACACACTGTAGAACTGTGTGCAAATAAATACAGATGTTATTTAAGGTATAAAAATGAAAATTCGAGTTCTCTGATAATGCGCATGCTTATTCAAATAACTATAAAACGTCTATAGCCCTATCTGGCAAGTTAGGAAGTTGGACATTATCACTGCTCTGATAACTAAAAAGCTAATAAAGTTGGTAAACCAGTAACTCTCCATGAAGTAAGATCACCGGGCAAGCCACTGCCCCCAGATTGGAGAGACACCAGGTGAAGACAGGGAATTAGCACCTACCTAAATAGAAGCCCATGAGCAGAAACCTCTATAACAACAAATAGCAAAATAGGAAAAACCAGAAGTTTCATTGAGGAATGGCTGGAGGCTCAGGGTGCACAGGTCTGAGAAATAAAAATCCAGGGGCCCCCATCATCAGAGAGATCCACACTTGCAAGATATAATTCCAGAAGCTGAACAAGGTTCTTAAACGGTGAATATCAGAGAAAGATCCCTCATTCTTCCATTGGTTGGAGGGAGACTGTAATCATTTTGAGACACACAGGAGTGTTGTTTGCTTCTTACCATGGTCTGCCTTCAAAGCAATCCATTTCATCAGAGCCTGCATTACTGTTTAGTTTTAAACCTAACTAACCTAGAGAAAGAAAGACGCCCAATGCAAGCAAGTAGAGGAAGAGAAACACACAACTGCAGACCCTGTAAGCCTTGCTTGTGGAAGAAACAGATGTACCCAGAAGTCAGCCACTCCTGCCTTCCAGGCCACGCTTGCCACCAAAGGGGTGTAGGGACCGATGATAACAGAGAAGCACTTCTGACGTGCACAATCCAGAAGTCACAGGCTAAGGAACTGAGATAAACCTAAAAATCAACAGCCATTTTCTCACCCCCCAATGGCCAATTGATCCTAGTTACTTAGTATGTCATATCTGACTGTCAAAAAGAAAAAAAAAATTACAAGGCATACTAGAAGGCAAAATACCCACTTTCAGAGCAAATACCGAGAATTAGACCTAGCTATAAGGCAGGGATGTGGGGTATGGGGGGGGGATTATAAGAGTAAGAATTTAAAACACTGTTGGCTAATATGCCAACGACTCTGGTGGATAGAACAGGGAGCATGGAGGAACAGATGTGCTGTGAAAACAGAGGAAATTTCTAAGGAAACAAAATTAAAATGCTAGAGAAAAATACACGAATGAAGATTGTTTTACACAAGAGGAGTAGATGAATCAGCTACTGTAGTTGGAGATTTCCACACCCCTTTATCAGATGGGAAGATCCAGCAGGCAAAAAAGTGAGCAAAGACTGAGACTCTTACCTAACTGAATATCCATGGCATCAATTGATGCTTTCCGAGCTCACATGAAACATTCACCAAGATGGGCCACATTCTGGCCCATAAAGCACACCTCAACCAATCCACAACTCAGGGCGTTAGAAATGGTCTGTCCACAGTCTATAGCTGAACTAAACCATCCACCAAATCGTGGAAAACGTAGCTGGAAAATCCCCCAAATGTTTGAAGACTCAATAGCACACTCCTACACAATGCATGGGTCAAAGAAGAAATTTCAAAGAAAATAAAAATAGGTTGAACTAAATGCAAATGAAAATACAACTTATGAAATCTGTAGGATGCCCTGAAAGACATGCTTGGAAGAGAATTTAAAGTAGCGAGTGCATATAGAAGAAAAGAACAACCAATACAAAAAAAATTAAAAAAAAGAAGAAAAGAAAAAAAGATCCAAAATCATTTATATAAACTTTCACTTCAGAACACTAGAAAACGAAGAGCTAATCAAACCCAAGGCAAGCAGGAAAGAAAAACAAATAATAAAAATTAGAGCAGAAATCAATGAAATTGAAAATAGGAAATCCATTGAGAAAAACAAACAAAACCAAAAGCTGGTTTTTTTTTCAAAAGATCAATCAAATTGATAAGCCTCTAGCCAAGTTAACTAAGAAATCAAACAGCATTATTCATACACAAAAGAATAACTAAAGGGGCTGGGGCTATAGCTCAGTGGTAAAGCGCTTGACTGACATATGTGAGGCACTGGGCTCAATCCTCAGCACCACATTAAAAAAAAAAATAAAGATAGTATGTGTTCATCTACAACTCAATATCTTTTTTAAAAAAAGAATAACTTAAAATGGTGTATTTGGAATACATTTGCAGTGTATGAAAGTCCTGCAAATGAAGATAACAATATTGAACATGTTCACCCATATTTGCCTGTGTAGAACCCTTCAGAGTGTTCCTCATAATGACTACAGAGGTTACTCAAGATATTATGGTTCGATTTATGATGCTTCGACCTTACAATGAGGTGGAAATAATGTGCATTCGGTGGAAAACATATAGTGGTTTTTCTTCAATGTGGCTCTTTCCTGGGCTAGATGCACACAGTCTGGTACTCTCTGATAGTGCTCTCTACTGGAATCAGAAGGCAGCAGAGATCCCAATCAGCTACCCAATCCTCAGGGTTAACCACCGGTACTCCACAGAGTTCTGTGTTGCTAAGTGAGGACGTACAGCAGATTAGGTGTATTAAATATATTCTCAACTTAGGATGAGCTACTTGGGATCATACTCCCATTTTAAGTTGAAAAGTGCCTGTGAATCTACGTTTCCCACTTTCAAATTTATGTCTAGGTGAAATTCAAATTTCTGAACTCCAACAGTGTCACCAGAGCCCTAATGGTGACCTGTTGGCCTCTGGGTGCCTAATTAATATCTCATTTACATGTCATCCATCAATACTCTGTCTTGATTTCTTCAATGCATTTTTTTAAAAAATTAGCTTTCACATACATTGTTTACATTACCAATCCTTAATAATGAGGAAAATCATGGCATTTAAAATTTAAATTTCTCTCTCATGCATTGGTAGAGAGAAATAGATGGTTTTAATTCCCCAGGTCATTAAATGAGTAATGAAGCAGGTTTTACATTCTAACCATGATGCATATTAGCTGTTTATTTGAAAAGGGAACATTTAATGGCCAATTCAATCTTTGAAAAGCTTACTGCATATATTTTTTTTTATTTATAAACCCGGTTTTTATGTGTGTATTATCGTGCCATTATTTTGAGATTTTTTTTTTACATTATATTTAACACCAACACAATTAAGGGATAAAATAACAAAATCATGACATCTGCATTTTGATGAAAATAAACATGTGGAATGTAGCAGAGAGAAATCAGCAAAGCTAAGTTTAATTGTGCTTTTCAAAACTGAAGTTTGAGACTGTTGAACTAGTTTCTGTAGTTATATATAGTTATATATAGTTAAATCTGCAACTACATGTAGCATATAAAAGAAATAAAAATTGGTATTAATAGTATGACTACCAGTTATTTGACCTGGCCGTATGAATACCACAGACTGGTGTAGACATGGTGCATCATAGAAGAGTATCCACTTAAAGCACAAGAGATAATATGGTGGTGGGTTTCTTTTTGATACCCAATCATTGACAAAGGCCAGTTTAAAGTTTCTTGTCCCAATCTGTGCCCTTAGTTACTAAAAATCTGATATCATTTCCAGCAACGTGTTCCACTCCACCCTCAATGTCTAAAATGGCACTTGGAATTGAGAACATCGGGGAAGGTTTTACTGGCACTTGGTACATAAGGTTGATTCAAGATGGCGGTACTGGCCAATGCACCTTTAATGAAGGAAGATAAACCAGATTTTAAATCCTCACACTGCTTTCCTGCTGCTCAGTTTCCTAACCAAAGCCAGTGTTGGTTCCTCCATCAGCACTATTTCCGTTTGACTTCCTTGGACACCACTCTCAAGTTTTCTTTACTGCTATTTACACTGGAAAGCGCCTACCTATCTCACCACCTGCCCTCTTACAATGTAAGCACTCCAAGTTTTTGCCCATTCTACTCTCCCTTTGTGCTTTTATCAAGTTTCATGATTCAATATTTTCACATGCTGATAGCTTCAACTTTTATCTCTAGACAGAGCTCCTGCTAGGAAAGCTAGACTCGCACAAATATCTACCTTTTTGTTTACTCCACTTGTTCTCCAAAGAGCACGCAAAGTCCAAAATCATACAAGTTCAAAGTCCCAGTCCTCCTTTCCACCTTCAAACTACTGTCTCCGCTATTCTTTCCACATCTCTGTAAATGATAGATTCATTCATTTTCCCAGATGCTCAAATATCTTTGGGACATCTGTATTCAACCCTTTACGTTACATTCCACATGTTAAAATATCCCTTTTCCATAATGCCTGGAATTTCAGTCCTTTTTGGATTTTGGAATATTTATATACACATAATGAGACAGCTCAGAGGTGGAGCCCAATTTTAAACAGAAAATTCACTTATGTTTCATACATATTTTATATACACAGCCTGAAGGCATTCATACATTTCTAGTGTGTCTGCATTTTGACTGTGCCCAACGCATGAGGTTAAGTATGGAATTTTTTACTTGTAGCATGTCAGAGTTCAAAAGGTTTCAAATTGGGAAATTTTTCAGATTTCCGGTTTGGGGATTAGAGATACTCAACCTACATCTAATCTCCCAGTTAAAGCCGTTGCCTGTGTCTTTCCTCTAACTTCACTTAAGTTGAACCGATATCCTCCCGACAGATCTCACAGCTACCCTCATAGCCCAAGCCATTAATATCTTCTGCCTGGATTATTACAATTGTATCCCTGGAGTCCCTCGTCCACTCCCTCCATGCCAGAAAAATTCCTGATAAAAGACAGATCAATGCTATTCCTTCACTCAAAATACCAAAGACGTCACAAATTTCAGATATCGAGGTATATCCAAAGATCCCCCCCAAAAAAACAGCTTTAAAACAGAAGATGCATTTATTATTCCTTCTCAAGTTCCTCCCAACTAATTTGGCTCAACGGGTGTGATGTAGGTTAAAGGGTCTTTTATGAGACTGTTTCATCAAATGGGGGCTTGGGCTGAGGTCAGCTTACAGCCTACCTCATTCACAGTCCTGATGCCCGTGTTGGCATGGATACCTGGATCCTGGCCAGACACGGGTCTTTGTTCCACCCGTGAGCTCTGACCATGTGTTCTCTCTGGTATGGCAGCTGCCACAATAGTCAGCTTACTCACATGGAGGTTGGCTCTCCCTGGAGGGAGGATCTCAAGAGAAGAATGGAAAGTTCCATATTTTTTTATGACTTCATCCATGGAAGTCATAGCACATCAAGTGTTCCAAAGGTTCAAAGAAGTCAGAAGCTCAGCCAAATTCAAGGTGAGAGGTGGAGCCTCTTTCAATGAAAAATGAATAGCCAAGGATATGTGGCAATTTGTCATAAACTGCTTAACTGTTTGTTCCTTTCACGAAAGCACAAATACAATATTTTTTTCTGGTGGTCGACAGAGGAATCAGCAAATTTGGCCGCTGCTTGTTTTACACATCAAGTTTGCATGAGTCAGAACACAGACTTGCTCGTTAACTTCCGAAGTTGTCTATGATGAGTTTCGTAGTTTGTTCAGTTATCGTTCTGCTAATGTGACAAAAATAACTGAGGCAACTGACTTAGAAAGAGAAAATTTATGCTGGCTCACCATTTTGGAGGTTCAAGTGTAAGACTCAGGGCCATATGGCTTTGGTCTTCTGATGAGGTAACACATCATGGTGGGAGCATACTGAAAAGCATACTCCTCATCTCTCGACCCAGGAAGAAAAGACAGGGGGGACTGCCCAGACTGCCACAGTCTCCTTTGGGGACAAGCCCCCCCAGGACCTAAAGATCCCCCCAAAAGGCCTTACCTCTTAATGTTGCACCACCTGCAATAGCACCACCCCAGGAACCAACCTTTAACACACAGACACGTGGGCACACAAATTCAGCATGGCGCATTGCACCAGAGTGGAGTAGCTCTCCGAGACTGGCCATTAAAGCTGTAGCTGTTTACAGTTTGGCTCTTCAGACAACAAGTTTATTGATCCCTCGTCTCTATATGCAAATAACCAGCTTCCTTCCAATCCGTTTACTCTCTGAATCTCTCTTCCTCGTTCTCTTTCTCCCACTGATATGGGTTCAACACACATCCCACCCTTTGACATAT